GATTTTTGACCAGGGATTAGATAGTTAGGTTACCACCTTTCCAATCACACTGGTCGTGTGAGACGTCCCTCAAAGGACATGTATCAGAAAGAATGTATACATATCTATGTTTACAGTCACTGTCCTGGGAAAGTTCTTAGAAACTGTCAACAAGATTGGAAAACTGAGTTTTCAGGGCGACAGATCAGCCCATCCCACAGCCAGCTGTATCCATCCATCTCCATTCATACTTCCCCACATCAGGATTTACCTCCATCACATTCATTTTCCAAGCAGATGACATCACTGGAAGTTTGGTTTTTTTTTGGGGGGGGAAAGGCACAGAGAGTGGGTTTGGGGGAACCTTCACTCATCCCTCCCAAAACCTTTGTGAAGCCCCCTCCATCTCCTCCTCTTTGCAGATGATCATGTGGCCACTGGTGCTGAGTGGGGTCATTGGCAACATCATCAACGTGGCTGCAAACTACCTCCTGCTCTACGTGTTCCACCTGGGCATCACGTGAGTAGCACCTGCATCCCCTGGAGAGGAAACAGGGCACCTGGCAGTGGCAGGGGAATGCTGAGCTCTCAGGGGTACAGCGGGATGTCTTTTTCCACCCTGAGGGGGGCACAAGCAGGATTCCAATGACCTTTCTCACTTCCTCTGCAGGGGCTCTGCCTGGGCCAACACCATCGCTCAGTATTCACAAATGATTTTCTTGTTCCTGTTCATCATAGGCAGGAAACTCCACTTGAACACGTGGGGAGGTAAGGGCATCTCCCCTGGTTCCTCTGCTTTACCCTGATGTGTCCATAAAACTTCTATCAGCTGTTCTTGATAGAAGAGGAATTCCGCTTGTCCTGATGGTGAAATATTAACCCCAGCCCGAGATGCCACAGTGCTGCTTCAGATCACACAGCTCGTCACATGCCAGCACTGGCAGAGCTGTGTGATCAGCACTAAACATTAATTCTGCGGAAATGAAACTTTCTGCTGAGGCTTTGGAAGTTCAGCCCCAAAGCCGGATGAGCACAGATGTGAGCAGGAGGCTGTCCTTGGACACCGCTCAGGGAGGGATGGGCTGAGGCTTGTGCTGCTCTGTGGCCCATGGGACAGCAGCAGAGAGGTTGTTGGTGGACACTGTGCTCCTGTGGAGCTGCTGGCTCTGAGAACAGGAATGGCACCTCCAGCTGCCCCAGGTGCCGTGCAGGATGGAACACATGGCCAGCCTGATCATCCATCAGGTGCCATTTCTCCTCTCAACAGGCTGGTCCAGCGAGTGCCTGCTGGACTGGGACAGCTTCACCTCCCTGGCTATCCCCAGCATGCTCATGATGTGCATCGAGTGGTGGACCTATGAGATTGGGAGCTTCTTGATAGGTCAGTGGAGAGGGGAGCTGCCAGGAGATGGCCAGGCTTGACCCAGAGCAGCACCCAGAGCCAGCACTGACCCCTCCTGTCCCACAGGCCTGCTGAGCGTTGTCGAGCTCTCCGTCCAGTCCATCATCTATGAGGTGTCTGTTGTGGCTTTCATGGTAAGGGCTGGGTTATCACTGCAGACCAGGGCTCCATGGGGGCTGTCCTGAGACAGGCACACAGCAAAAATCAGCTCCAGCAAAGCCCCCTCCTCCCCCTCTGCACTCGAGTCTCTCCCTGCTCCTGCCCATCCCTCCTTGCAGGGATGCTTTAACTCCATCCTGCTCTCTGCTGGGTGGTGATCCCCCATCACTGTGACGAGCCCATGGTCAGACACATGTGAGCCCTGTGCTTGCAGATCCCCCTGGGGCTGGGCACAGCTGCTGGTGTGCAGGTGGGCAACGCGCTGGGCGCCGGTGACATCGAAGCGGCCAAGAGATCCTCCAGCACCAGCCTGATCTGCACAGGTCAGTCCACAACAGCCTGGAAAGCCTCTTCCTGCTCCTTCCCATGGAGCAGGGAGTGTTTGCAGTTCTCTGCCTGCCTCTTCTCCCCCTGCTCTCCAGCCAGGCTGGGTTCAGCTCTGTGCCATGTTTTCAGGGGTGTTCTCCGTAATTGTGGGGTCCATTTTAGCTGCCACAAGGAATGTGCTGGGATACATCTTCACCATGGACAAGTGAGTGCCCCCAGCTCCTGGCCCTGGTGTGTGGAGGTCAGTTCTCAGAAGTGATCTGTGGCTTTCCTCCATCCCCAGGGAAATCATTGACTTGGTGGCGTGGGTCATGCCTATCTACGTTGTTTTCCACCTGTTTGAAGCCATGACTGTAAGTCCCAGGGAATGTTTGCTATTTTCCATGGGGAACCTTGGTGCTCAGCAGCATTGTAGATCAGGCAGCTGAGGGTCCCTCAGCTGAGCACCAGTGCCCACACCAGGACCCTGCAGAGCTCCTGGGATCCTGGGATCATCCCTTAGAAAACACTGAGCTCATAAAAAGATGGTGACCCATAGGACTGGGGCAGAACACAGTCAGGGAGCTGGTGGGGGGGCTGGGTCACCTCCTGAATTCCATGGAGGTGCTTGCTGCCCCAGCCCCTCGTGCTCTCCTGGCAGGGTGCCTGCAGTGGGGTGCTCAGAGGAGTCGGGAAGCAGAAATTCGGTGCCATCCTCAACGCCGTGAGTTACTACGGTGTGGGCATGCCCCTGGCAGCTGTGCTGCTCTTCGTGGCCAAGATCGGCGTCATCGGTACTGACCGCTGGGCACTGCACCCCCAAACCCCCCACAGGCAGGTGCAGCTCCACTGGGGGCTCACCACAACCCTTGTGCCTGGCTCTGCCCCCCTCTGACCTGCCTGGCCACACTGGGCTGGACTGGGGTGGCTCCTGCAGCTGCTGGGAGCTTTTACTGGAAAAAGTAACCTCAAAGCAGGCACCCATGACCACCCTGTCCCCATTGACCTGGGTGACATCCCCTTTCTGGACCTGCTGTCCTGGGATGCTGGGTTGGCTCTGGCTGATGCCGTGTGCCCTCCGCAGGCCTGTGGATCTCAATGCTCATCTGCGTCTTCATCCTCTGCACCTGCTTCATCACCTACATCTCCCGCCTGAACTGGGAGAAGGCAGCTAAGGAGGTAATCCAGGCACTGACAGCACCTCCCTGCACTGGGAAGGTCCCCAGTGCCCTGCTGGGATGAGACAGGCTCAATCTCATGGCCAGTGCTGTTCTTTGGTGCCCTGAAGCAAAACCCAGCGCTCCTGTGACGTCCCTGTGTTCCTCCTGCACAAGCACTCAGTGGCCTTAGGGTTTCCCCCTGCTCCTTGTTTGGGGACACAAAGCTCAGAGCAGATGGGGTGACCCAGGCAACCTCAGCCCTGCAGCCCTGAGTGTCACCTTGTGCCTCAACAGCTCCAGGGAGACCTCAAGAGAGGCAACAGAGTGGGAATTCCCAACTAAAGCCAGCACCTTCCCTCCCCAGGCTCAGCGCCGGGCGGGAGTGACCCAGCTGCCACCACCAGAGCTGCCGAGCCTGGGCCCTGAGCCCTCCTGCAAGGATCTGGACGTGGGACCAGCCCCCCAGCCCCACACTTACCTCCCTGCCAGGGCAGTGTTGGGGTCTGTCGGTACAGCAGGAGCGGGGTGCTGCATGCAGGGGAGGGTTTGGGTTTGGGAAGGGTCACATAAGCCAGGAACAAGCCCACCAAACAGGGCAGTGTCGTGCTGGTGACACCCTCAGTTACTGGGAGAGCAGTAATTACAAGTGTGGGCTTGGGAGGGGTGCAGAGGGTGGTCAGTCCTCACCTCGGTCCCACCTCTAGGAGCAGGACCTGGTTGACATCTCCACACCCTGGGCTGCTCGTGCATTCCACCCCGTGACAAAACCCTCCCCAAAAATCCCTCAGTGCCCCTCCAGACCCCTCAAGCCCCGTTCTCCTTGCAGCAGGAATAGAAGTGCAGGATGACGTTGTGCTCACGGGCATCACCAGGACGGAGGGAGCCACGCAGCAGCTGGAGCTGTGGGAGGTGACCCCCGCTCCGGCCACCCCCGTGGTCACCAAGCAGCTCATCCTGCGCCGGGGGCTGGCGGTGGCCGCAGCCGTGGCCGCGCTCGCGCTCGGCATCGCCATAAAGCTGATCAGCAGCACAGGCTGACTCGCACCAAGGACTTTGGGGACTTGTTTTTGGGGTGAAAGCCTTTCCTGAGGGACAGGCGTACAAAGCACGGACCAGCCAGCGAGAAAATGGAGCGCACGCCTGTCCCGCAGGAGCCAAAGGGCTTCTGTCAGGGCTGAGCAGCGTCTGTGCAGCTACTGATTGGGAATGGGGCCCTGAGGCTGCCCTGGCACCCAAAATGCTGCTCTGGGCTGCCTGAGCGTGTGGGGCACCCCCGGGCCACACTGCCACCACCCACTGGAGCTGAGCACAGCCCAGCTCCCCCTGCTGCTCCATGACAAATGCCCAATAAAGAATAAACCTGGCTGGAGTGGGGCTGGCTCCTTGGGGTGGAGGCTGAGGGCAGGGCTGGGGCCAGAGCAGGGAACATCCACAAGTGGGTCTTGCCCTGCCCCATGTGCCCTTCGCAGCAAAGCAAAGGTTTTATTCAGCAAGGGTCAAGGTCAAGCTCTCAGTTACAAGTTTGGAGGTAAAAGACTACCCATAAACGAATAAAACCCTGAAATTCAGTTACAGAGGAGATGGCTGTGGCTGCTCTACCACTCTGGCTGAGGATGCCCCAGACCTGGGACTCCAGTTGCAGCAGTGCCCCTGTCTTTGCCCCAGTAGCCCCAAATGCAGCAGCACAACAGTCCCTGGACCTTCTCAAGTCCTTGGGACAGTATGGCCACAATTCAGGTGGCTTTTGCCACCACCTCTGGTGGCCTTTGCACACCCTGGATGGCTAAAGGTGGTTTCTCTGTAAGGAGCATCACCCATTCAGTCATGAGGCCCTTCAAGGATGAGATGCTGCAGGTTCTTCGAGGCTCCTTCCCTCTGCTCTGGGGACAACCAGCCTGGGCTGTCCCCTGCAGTGAGACCCTCATTTTCCAGGCTTATCTCTGTGATGAGGGTTTCCTCTGGGGATCAGGTGAGGTGTTACACAGATAACAGGCTCAGTAACGACTGGCTTTGTTTAGACACCCTTGTGACAAACACTCCCACGTTCCCAGGAGTTTTTAGAGGAGCTACTGTTTACAAAGCAGGGTGGATGCTGTTTCCTTCCATCGGCTACTCACTGCTCAGGCATGACCCACGGCCTAGGTCTGGATAGATTCCTGTTTCAGGAGGAGCTGGAGCCTTTAGCTTGGGGTGTCTCTGCTATAGATGCATTTTTTTCTGTCTTCTACCTCTTCAGTGCATTGTCTACCTTGGAAGAAATGAAATTGCAGCAAAGGAAAGTTCAGCAGCAGGACTGCAGGGAGCGAGCAGCAGGTCCAAGGGTTGGCTGCCCATCACACCTTTCGCTGGGGGCACAACACCTGGAAAGGCACAGAAACAGGGATGAGTCCTCTAGGGAGGGAGCAGAGCTCAAAGAAATGGGGTGATGAAGGCTGAGGGCAGGTGGGGCTCAGGGAACAGAACTGGGAGCACACACTCACAGGCACAGCAGACACACAAAGCTCACCTTTGCCACCACGGCTTTCACCGCCGCCAGCAGGGCCGAGATGAACTGTCCCACCCTGCTCCTGTTACACTGCTTCAGGAGGAAGAACTTGGCCAAATGCATCATCTCCATGCTGCCAGGTGGGTACCTGAGTTTGTTCAGAGCCTCCCACCTCAGGTCCTTGATCAGGCAGGCGCGGCGGTGGGAGAAGGTCTCGAAGCTGTACCTGCCATGGTAGGCGCCCATCCCGCTGTGGCCTGAGGGACACAGCCAGGCAGGTCACACCAGCCACAGGGACACCTGCGTTTCTCAAACTCAGTTTGGCAGCCCCCAGGACACAGGGAAAGCTTGGCCATGCTGCTTCTCAGGGCAGAGGAGCAAAGAGCAGCTTTTTTAACTTCACAGAAACAGTGAGGACACACTCACTGCCTTGACCTGCTGCTTGTGTGAGACCACCCGTAAAATGTTAATGACACCAGTTCTCTCCTCCCAGGGCCAGCCTTGCTTTTCCCACAAAATTCTCACAGGGGTCAGGGACAGGAGGAGCTGGGCCTGTGATTTCAGGGGGTGGGACATGAGGAGGACACTTAACAACACCCAAGACCTCAGCCCTCTGCCCACAGCCAAACGATCTGTGCCACAGGAGCCCGACAGCAGCTGTGGAAACTCAACCAGGCCATGGACAAATTCATCCCACACCTCAGCACAGGAGAACCAGAGCTCATTTATGTGCTGGGGGATTTTCCTCTCTCACTGGGAGGCCTAATAACCAAAACACTAATAAGGCTTTTTACAAAGCAATCCACCCCAGAAAATAACATTAAATGCAGCTGGAAGTTCCTGAATCGCCAAGTGGGCAGGACAGCTCCTGGGTCAGAGGCTGCTGCTGGTTGCTGAGCATGTGCTGGAGTAAGAACTCACCCACACCACCGAAGGGCAGACCTGGGACCACGGAGTGCATGATGACATCGTTGGCTGTCATGCCACCGCTGGAGGTCTCTGCTATCACCCGTCTGATCAGCTGCCCACAATGGGAGAGGGCACAAATCAAAATGGGACACCGTGAACCAGAGCAGGGAGGGTTCAAGGTGATGCTTCCATCCCCCTTTCTGGGGGGCACAGGCTGTGCCCTGTTCCATGAGAGAGGCCAGTTTACTCCACTTAAGCACAGGATCTGCCCAGCTGGAACAGCCACAAAATGAAGAGGCTTCATGTCAGCCCAGGGTGCTGCTCAGCCCTCCCACCCAAACTGCCTGAGGCTGTTGTTCCAGGGCAAAGCCCTGACCTGAATTCCAGAGCTGGCAAACAGAGCCTGGAAATGGGGGCAGCAGACAGGGCAGGAAGCAGCGCCCACCTGTGTGGGTGGAGATGTGCAAACACAGAGCCCTTCAGCAGAAGACTAGGAGCCTCCAGCAGCTCTGGGCACTCTCATGGCCCCCAAATGCTGCAATTTACATGGAAAAGGAACTGACACAGACCCTACAGAGAGCTGTGTCTGGGACCAGCCATGTTCAGGATCCAGCTGTGCAGACATGATCCCATGAGGGAGCACAGCCCAGACCTACCTGCTTGTTGTTGGAGAAGACATAAAGGGCAAGGGGCTTCTCCCGATAATTGATGAATTCAATGGCTTCATCCACGCTCTTCACAGTCACAATGGGCAGCACTGGTCCAAAGATTTCCTCCTCCATCACCTTGGACTCCGGGGAAACGTCCGTGAGGATGGTTGGAGCTGAGGCAAACGGGACAATGGGAGAACAGCATGAGCAGGACACATCTGGCCCAGGACAGGACCCTGTCCTTGACACTGCTGTGTTCAACATAACCCAAGTCAGGCACAGACACACGGAGCCCAGGAAGCGCCCACCACCACCTCCCCTCCACAGCAGCTGCCAGGAGCACCTATGAAGCAGGAGGCCTCATCAGACTCTCCCCCATGAGCGATCTTCTGCCCCTCCAGCAGGCTCTTCACCCTCTTGAAGTGACGCTGGTTGACAATCCTTTCATAGTCCGGAGATGACTTCACATCTTCCCCATAGAATTCCTGAGCAAGGGCACAGCAGCAACAAAAGTGCTCAGCGCACCTTCCAACAGCCACAGCTCCAGGAAATCACACCTGGAACAATCCCCACAGCACAAAGAGCTCCTCCCTCACCTTCAGAGTCGCCTTGATGTTCTCCACCACCTGGCTCTGGATGGAGGGGTCGCACAGGATGTAGTCTGGGGCGATGCAGGTTTGCCCACAGTTCATGTACTTGCCCCACGTTATCCGCCTGGGACGAGGGACAAAAGGGACACGGTTTCCCCATGGACCACCCCTGCCACACCACTCAGCGCAGCTGGCAGCACCTGAGCTGGGGATGCTGGGGATGACCTCCCCCTGCCCTGCTGCTCAGGGCCCATCAAGGCAGCAGCAAGCTGACCTGCAGGCCACAGCCAGGTCACAGTCCTTGTCGATGTAGCAGGGGCTCTTTCCCCCCAGCTCCAGGGTGACAGGGGTCAGGTGCTTGGCAGCTGCTGCCATCACAATTTTGCCCACAGCAGTGTTGCCGGTGTAGAGGATGTGATCAAATCTCTGGGTCAGCAGCTCAGTTGTCTCAGGAACTCCTCCAGTGACCACAGGGTACAGATCCTGCAGGACAAACATGAGCCTGAGACTTACCTTGACTCAAAGCACTTAGATCAAGGCAGCAGGTGGCAGAGGGCACACTTATTTGTGGCCTACTTCATGATAGGGACAAAATACAGTGGTATCAGAGATAAGCTATGCTCCTTCCCCTGAAATGAAGTTTCATATCACACTTTGTGTCATAAGAACTAAAAGAAATGCAGGCTGAGGCCAGGGCTGAGTCTGGCTGTGGAGCTGCTCCCACACAGTAAGAACCAGGGTGCACATGACTGCCAGACTCTCCCCAGGGCTGCCTCCTTCCTCTGCTCCTGCCTCCCACCTCGAGAAGGTGCTAACTCCCTGGAGGAAACTCCACAGGGCCCTGTGCAGTGACAGCAACAGTCTGTGACACAGTGCAAGGGACGACAGAACTGCCAGGCAAGAGGAGGAGAACAACACCTCCTCCTCCAAGTGCAGTTCAGCAGGACACAAAAACCCAGGACACGCTCCATGGAACACACAGTGCCTAATTCTCAGGAAGAGCCAGGCACAGCCACCATCCTACACAACCTGTGTTGACCTAAGGACATCCCCAGCACAGCTCCAAAAGAGCAGCTCCTGCAGTGAGAAGTACCCACACACCTCTCCATATGGTCATGGGTGTCAAAAAGGCTGTCACACTGCAGCAGCGTTATGTAAGCTCATACACAAACATAGGAAGAATTTGTCAGTGTACCTTTGGACTTTAACTCAGCCCTTCCTCTGCCTCCTGCTTATGCTGCTGAGCAGGCAATGGATGTGGCTTGAACCTGCAGGAGCCCTTTAGAAGCAGGACAGATCAAGACAGTCATGCCAGGCACGGGGCCACACTCACCTTGTCCAGGTACTGTGGGAGGAGCTCGGCCACCAGCCGAGCCGTGTTCTCGCTGACCTCCGACGGCTTCACCACCACGGCATTGCCTGCAGGGCACACACAGCATGCCCCAGCTCCCAGCCACCAGCCCACCAAGGCTGGGGCCGTGCTGGATCCCCACCTGCTGCGATGGCCCCGATCAGGGGCTGCATGACCAGCACAAACGGGTAGTTCCAGGCCCCGATGACCAGCACCACGCCCAGGGGCTCGTAGTTGATGTAGGCCTCGTCCCTCAGGGTCAGCAGGTTCTTCTTCACGGCCTGAGGGGCTGCCCAGGACGGCAGCTTCTCCATGGTCAGGGCCAGCTCCCCCAGCACGCCCAGAATTTCATGGCTGTAGGCGTTGGGCCCACACTGAAACAACAGGGGGTTGGGGAAGGGATGGCAAAGGCACCCACCTCCCACAGCCACATCACAGCCCTGCTGCTTCACAGTGTCTGCCACTGGCAGTGACAAAGGATCCCTGGCCAAAGCTAGCCAACCCAAGGGTGTGAGGCAGAACCTAAAAGCTGACAGCCAGGATTGCCTCAGCAGTCCTGCCTTAGACTAACTCCTTACAAGCGGTGGCAGCAGATCTTCGCAGCCACAGTGGGAGCCAGGGCCAAGGGGGCCAAGAGCTAAAGTCATTCAGCACAATGGCAGCCCTTGGCCTTCCCGCTTTCCCTTCAGGGCCAACCACTGTCCATGCACGGCTGATGGGAGAAACTCCCCGACAGCACAGACCTTGTTCAGATCCGCCTTGAGGGCTGCCAGGATCTCCTTCTCCTTCTCCTGCACCATCCTCTCCAGGGCCTTCAGCTGCTGAATCCTGAACTCCAGCGGGCGGCTCCGGCCCGAGCTGAAGGCGGCCCTCGCCCGCCCCACGATCTGCTGCATCCTCTCCATGGCCGCTGAGCACTGAGGAGACAGCGGTGACACCCAGCTCGGCGCGGGCCCTCCCTGAGCCGCAGAGCCCGGCTCGTCCCCACAGGCACCGCTCGCACCCGCAGCCTCCGGCCGCGCCCCCGCCCCGTCCCCGGGCAGCGAACTCGCCGCCCTTCGTGCCTCACACGCCGCGTGTCTCTGGAGCCTTACGTAATTCCCGAGTTAGAAAAGTTTGCGAAGCGGCGCAGGGCGCTGGTGGGAGCGTGGGGATGTCACCGAGGAAGCCG